CAGCACTTCATTTTTTTACGTAGCTCCTTCAGGCGGTTCGCGGCATGCAAGATGTTGCGGTTACACCAGTTTGGTGTAAGAAAGAGTCTTTTTCAGTAGCAGATCTTGTGATAACATCAAGTACAACTTATTCGAATTTCATGTTCACATGCCCTAGTGTTCGTGATCGTTGAACGAACAAGGTAAAAATAATTTTGGATGGACAACTTTTTATTTGCCAATCTGGGTGATATTACCATTCTTATTGTACAACTTCTTATACAGATAGATGGGCGACCTTGGCAGTCCGTTTACCGTCTCGTTAAGTTTAGTATATTATCTGTGTAACGGTGGAGAACTCACTCTTGACCTTATTTAATTTATTATTTATGGAGTCTGTTGTTTATGGTTGGGTCTTTTGAGCCACCATGAAAAGAAGCTTATGTGAATTGTTTTGCAAAGATAACAGTTTAGTTATTTTAATTGTATTTAATTTTTATTATACAAATCGTAATTTATAATAGCGTGATTTCGGTGCCAAGGGTCATTATCAGACTCGCGCTATAAAGCTGCACGCGTAGCATGACAAACTTGAGAAACGCTTTGTCTACACTCATTTGTCAGTTTCGCGGGTCGAGAGTGAGATATCGTATGGATGCACTCGAGAAAAGTGACATTTGAGCGTAGTCAAAACGTTCTCGAGTTCGTCATGCTACGTTTGCTGGTTTAATGTTAATCGGGCCATCCGCACTAACGACTACACGCATAGCTATCAGCGCAAACTGTCAGCGCATACTTGCTATCGTGCTGATCGCTGTAAAGTACAGACGTCTGTAACATGGCATGATAAAATCCTGTGAGTTTTCAAATTGTTGCAGTATATTATTTAAGCAAAATGAAAGAAGTGACAGCGAAAAAATGTACATAGCATGTTTATCCACTTTTGTTCAAAGATTGCTAGTGAGTGCATTTGTTACATTGTTATACCAGTTGACACTGCTTAAAACAGAGTTAAAAGGGATGACAATACCATAGTTGTATTTGTTTATTGCATATTTATTTTTGTAAAGTGGATCGGATGCATTCACACACTTCTTCTGTGTTCATTGCTATTCAACATGACTATACGTTGAGGGCGTCCACTCGGCTTGACACAGGAACTCTCGCTTAGGGCAGAGGCGTGCGTGTAATAATTAGTACGACTGTGCACAGCTCAGCGCTGACGATCGTCAGCGGTCGGTGTAACTATAGAATGCTTCTATAGAGCCCATACATATTGGCCTGTCAGCGCCGCCGCTCAGAGTAATACTAAAATCGACCTTAAACCTTCATGTTATGTTAGAAGAGTTCAAAGTCAAATGAGAAAATGTATTAAATAATAAAATATATAAATTATTTCTAACATTGAAAGTTTTCGTTTTAGGGGTGAGCTACATCTGTTAGGACATATTTTTCCATCCTGTTCTGCTCCTCACAACTGCCGTTTGTCTATGATGAAAAGATAGCATTCCATAAGGTGATATGTATATCTTTCTTACTCTATACAAAACTGATTCTGAATAATGAGGAAGTATTTTAAGAAAAAAAAATTAAGCACTAATAAAGCACCTCACTAGATGGCGACTCTACCAAAAGTTGATTTTTGCAGGAAAAGAATAGACGAAAGATAGTCGTTTCCCTTCCTTTTATTTATTTAAAAATCACTAAAAAAGCACCTCACTAGATGGCGACTCTAGCTAAAGTTGATTTTAGTAGAAAACGAACGGACCAAATAGTCATTTCCGTTCGTTTAACTAACATATTTAAAAACTAAAATTTGCAAAGTTTGAAACTTAGATATCAATACAAATACAAAGTACAAATAGAATATGAGTTGTTTATTGAGTTTTGAAAATGAATTTACTTTTATACATGAAAGAAAACCGAAAGGGAGAAATCAAGAAAGTACTGTAGCGACATCTAGTTTCATTTCGGGAACTATTTTTATACTTCCTCATTGTCAGAGTAAAAACATCGATTTTTTTTATTCTTGCATTTAATGTTTATCGATAAGTAGGGTTCGAAGTATCGGCTTCTGTTCACGATACTGAATATCGGTATCGGTATCGACCCTAGGTATCGATACCTGAAAAGTATCAATCTAAAAGTATCGATACTACTCAGTATCGATACTTTTTTGGAGGCATGATCACAGCATTATTTTGTTTTCTTGGAATGCAGTAATTTATATACTAAGTACGAATATAACATTGTATAATATAATCATTTATTTAGAGAATAGAAGTAAAAACCTATGGATGTGTGGCATATCTGTGTAATGATCTTTATCACTCTGTGGCAACGTAATCTATGACTTTTGTAATATGTAAGTGGCACTTCAACATCAAGCAGTCCGAAAGTAAACTCATACCCGCGAACACGTTTATTCATTTTACCGACCCTTCGTATTAATAGTCAGATAGTCAACTTATCAATAAGTTAAAAATCATCATAATACCAATAAATAAATACCCAAAACACATTCGGTAAAGATGTAATGTACTTTACCTATAGAAAGTAAGGTTGAAATGAAAGACTATTAAATTTATTTAATTCGTTTTTTACCAAATAAACTACGCCTGGGCCGTGTACATACACGCATTTAGAACCATTCTGTTTCTGGGCGTCCTGCTAAGAAAAGCAGCTCGTTCAGTCTTTTTGGCTTGAGACGATTACGGTTTTTCGTCATTGCCCCAGCTTTGGAAAAAAGCCTTTCAGATGGCACAGATGTAGCTACTACTACTGCATGTCGTCTAAATTGCTTGTAAAGGGAAGGAAATATTTCTTTCATGTCCTCCCAGGTTTCTAATGGATTCGATTTTAGTGGCGTCACAGGAAGTTTCATGTAATGGGTTATTTCGTCTTGTTGTTTTCCGGTTTTATTTATGTTTTCTTGTGCCAACTTTTTATGGGGCTTCCAAAATTCATTTTCATTCAGACTGGAAACACTATCCGTGTCTGATTCTGATGACGCCTGCGTCTGCGTGGTTGAGGTTTGGTCTGCTGCAACAATGATTCTCCGGAGAGTACTCAATGCAATGGCACATGATTCAGGATTTCTAAAATGTGGGTTCTTGAATCTGGGGTCAAGTAGGGTGCTGATTCCGATAAGAGGACTTCGCTCAACCCATTGAAATCTCCGCAGAATTTGGACCATCAACACCTCTTTCGCCTTAATACATAAGGCTGATTTCACTGTCAGATTCGTAATCTGGTTCACCAGGCAGTTAATCAGCGGTATCACTTTGGAGATAGTGATATATTGTTCGCCAGATAATTCTCTGGTGATGTATTCTAAAGGTCTTAGGAGTGAAATCAATTCTTTGAGGTTACTCATTTCAACTGGCGAAAGCATTGTTGGAGCATGAGAGTCTTTTAACAGTATGGGTGAAATAAATAATGCTAGTTCTACGAACCTTTCTGCCATATAATAGCAAGAGTTCCATCGAGTGCTCACATCGAGGATAAGTTTTTTCGGCACGCATGTTATGTTATTCAGCTCTTGAGCTTTCTTTAAATTGTCTGTGGCACTTACACTCCTTTTAAAATATTTGACAATTTCTCTAAACTTTGACAAAAACGGTAGTCTCACCCTCAGATAGCACCTTCTCGACTACAAGGTTGATGGTGTGAGCAAAGCATGGTATGTGTTTCATTGTGTCATTATTGACATTGCCATCGTCAAATAAGCTTCTGATAGCAGACACCATATTAGCCCCGTTATCGGTCAGGATTGCTATAATTTTATGCTTGTCGATAGCCCAGTCCTCAAATACTTCAGTAAGCATATAAGCAATATATTCTCCTGTGTGTCTTTCATTTAATGGTGAGGTTGCAATACATGCTGATTTCAAAGTAGTATTTTCTAGGTAATGCAATGTCACTCCTAAAAAGCTCGTCATATTTAGGGTATCAGTCCATATATCATAGGTGGTACAAAAAACATCTTTATGCTATAAAGATTCCTTCATGGCATGTTTCATAGCAGTGTATTTATCAGACATCATTTTTTTTAATGAGTGTCTGTAACGGCACACGGTAATTAGGCTCTAACGTTTTCATTAATTTTAAAAAACCTTTTGACATTACTGTGTAAAAAGGTTTATAATCAACTCAAATATGGTAAAGAATAGCGTTAGTTATAGCAGCATGTCGAGTTCCACCCTCTTTGAGTGACGCGCGTTGTTCGAATGAGCGTAAAATGAGATTTGGCAGCGTTTTAATCGGCTGTGTGTGTGTGTCTCGTCGTAAAGGTAAAGGAGCAGCAAGCAGTCACTGGTTGGCTATTTCCACTACTGACATCATTTGCAGTACTACTTCCAGCTTCTCTCAAGTCATTATGCGAAATCAGTTGTTTTCGAGATTGCGTCGGTTCTTGTCCTAACGATGTGGTTAACTTTTTAGACTGTACTGTGGTGACTGTTGTTTGCTTCATTCTTTTTGCAGTCTGCATTTGTGAGTCACTAAAAAGATTAAAATATATAATGTTTACAAAGCAACATTCACATAGTTGTTTAATTACTTATTCACGTTACGACACACCTACAAGATGTACATTTCAGAGTATTACATAGTAAAACTACATTTGAAAATACGTATGGTATGACTAATACGATAATACCGATACCAAAATCGATACCAATACTCTACTACCTTCTCATCTCTAATGATACTTCCTCTTATCATTTGAGGTTATAATAACGTGAAAGCTATATGGCTTAATTCCTTCCTTTGCCTTTCCCCAAAGGGATAAGATAAATAATAGTAACTGCCGGTTTCAATAACTTACTGTATCCGTAACTGGAGATTTAAAGTATACCTGTCTTTGTTGTTTACAATGTAAAAGACAGTGACAGATATACTGTCAAATCTCCAGTTACGGATATAGTAATTTCTTGAAACCGACCGTAAGTAAGTAAGCAAGTCTGCCAAAGAGGTTAATAGAGGAGGTCGATAACAGTCACTAGATAGTTTTATGTAGGTAGGTTAATGAATTAATAATATCGCATAGATTACTTTTCGAAACAGATGATAAATACATATAAAAAAAACCTAAACATACCAGGAGGAATCATCATCATTGGCATCGTCATCGTTGCTAGTGCTGGTGGCTAACCGCTTTATTTGCATTCCAACATCAACAGCAACAGAACTATGCTTAAGTCTCAAATGCTTCATCATATTAGTAGTATTGCCACTCGTATTTATAGCTTTAAAACATAATTTGCATTTTGCAGAGTTTTTACCCGTTTTCTCAAAGCATTTCCACACGGTACTAATACCACTTTTACCAGCGCTGCTCATTTTTATCAAGATAATGAAATGAAAAAATCTTATCACAACACAAAATAGCATAATTGGGCGCGAAGAAAAAAGGAACGAAGGAAGAAATTTATTGAATGAACCATAGAGAAGACTATGAATTCACGAACTAAAAATCATTCATTCATTCCTTTCAGCTGCGCTGCGTTCAAGATTTTCAAGTCAAATCTAGGGATGCGATTTGCTAAAAATCGTTGGGTGCATTCCAGCAGACCAATTGCTAAGTCACCGATCTCCACCGTATACATTTTAACCATGGAAAGTAATTTGTTTTAAGTAGTGACAAAAAGTACTCGATATTTTAAAAATAGACTAGTCGATACCGCGATCCTGTCGATACCTTGATGTTCAAGTATCGATACTCAAATATCGAGTATCGAGTGTAAAGTATCGATACTTCATAAGTATCGAAAGTATCGTTCGATCCCAATCGATAAGTATCAAACATCTCTATTCTTCACGTAATTCAACTTTGGTTTTTGTGAATTTGTTTTTTGCATTTTCGAAATTATTTATTTAATTTCCGTGAAAAGTTGGTCATTATTATTCATTCTTGAACTTGTGAATCAACTGGATTTATAGAATTCAATTGCATTTGCTCCTTTGCTTCCTTAGGTATTTCCTTTCCCATAATATTTTTTGCAGTGTTGCATTTGATTTGATATAAGTACAAACAATGAGAAGGAGAGCAGGATTAGGTGCTATTCAAAAGCAAAAGTTGGAACAGGAAAAATATAGAGAAAAAGGATCTGAAATACAGGAGAACCAATTTCAACAAATGTCCAAACAACTTGAAGTTTTCAGGGAGAATCTCGAGGAGTTTGCGACAAAACACAAGAATGAAATCAAGAAAAATGCTCAGTTTAGACGACAGTTCCAGGAAATGTGTGCTGCTATTGGTGTAGACCCATTGGCATCTGGGAAAGGGTTTTGGTCTGTACTTGGTAAGAATTTTGATTGCCTCATCTTTTTTATTTTGGAAAGTTTTTAAAGAGTTTGTCATTGATAATATAGTATAAAGATCCTTGTGGATCTTAAATTGTCCATTGGTTAAGGAAAACTGTAAAGTACTTGGTAAGAATTTTGATTGCCTCATCTTTTTTATTTTGGAAAGTTTTTAAAGAGTTTGTCATTGATAATATAGTATAAAGATCCTTGTGGATCTTAAATTGTCCATTGGTTAAGGAAAACTGTAAATTAATTTGTTGTTTTAGGTATTGGAGACTTTTATTATGAATTAGGAGTTCAAATTGTTGAAGTGTGTTTGGCCACTAATTACAAAAATGGTGGACTTATAACTTTAGAAGAATTACGCACAAGATTAATTGCAGCCAGAGGAAAAGCCAAAAAACACCAAGAAATAACTAATGAAGATTTATTAGCTGCTGTAAAAAAGTTACGGATATTTGGAAATGGGTAAATATTATTTATATTACTCTAAAAGACTAACAAATAAGTTTCAAATTATTTGTAGAAATTTTATGGTATTGGTGTTCCTGATGTTATATGTACTCCTTGCAAAATAATTTAACAAGATTATATACACAGATATTAAATGTGGCAAAGTTAAAAATGTTGGAGATAATTTTGCCTCATTAATGTTTATCCTTAATAGTTTGATATTGTATACATATTATTAATTATTCAAATGTATATTATTTGATAAAGTTTATTCAATTTCAAATTTTAGGTTCTCAGTTGTGCCAATAGGCAAAGGTAAATGGCTTGTTCAATCTGTGCCAGGAGAGTTGAATTTGGACCACACGCTGGTGTTACAAAAGGTCAGCTCTTTGGGTACAGCTTGGGTGTCTAGCAGCATCCTCACCGATGATTTAGGGTGAGTTTTATATATCTAGTAGCTTTCTGCCAGTGGCTTCGCCCGCATGAATTTGTATTATACATAAAAATCTTCCTTTTGAATCATCCTATCTATAAAAAAAACTGCATAAAAATCATAGTTTTAAAGTTTTAAACATACATAGAGGTATAGGGACAGAGTAAGCGACTTTGATTTATACTATGTAGTGATTATATCTTCACTCTTTCACTTTGCCCTTGTGGAGTAGGCAGAGAGTTCTGAGCACCACAAGAGTTTTATATATACAAATGAAAATTGTAAACATTGTAAGTCAAGGATTTCCAATTAGAACAAATCAAATAATCATTTTTTTTGCATTTTAGATGAGAATTCCAACCTGTGTGAGTTTATAACATAATCATATACATATATTAATCATATAATTATTTCATTTGCATTTCAGATGGACTCAAACAAGAGCTAATAATGCTCTAAATTACATGATAAAGGAGGGATTAGCTTGGGTGGACACTCAAGATTCAAAAGAAAAGTTGTTATGGTTCCCAAGTATGTTTTCAGATTGTGTTTCTGCATAGCACACAAAGCTGTTATAGTATATAAACATAGGAAATTTTAGCTTGCACTTCAGCTGTGGGAACATTAATAAACCGATGATGATTAGGGTAATGGTGAGGTTGATAGAACTTTGTGAGTAACAATTTGAATGTAAAATTTTCAGAATGGGTAGTGATATGAGTGGTCACTTTCAAAACCTACTAAAACGATTTTAGGGTTCTGAACCCAAAGGGTAAAAAGGGATGTTTGTCACCAGGCTGTATCTTATGAATCCGGATAGCTATAGTTGAAATTTTCACAAATTATGTATTTCTGTTGCTGCTTTAACAACAAATACTAAAAAGCAGAATAAAATAATTATAAAAAAAACATAATTTTATTGCTCTGCTGGTACAGAACTTTTCATGCGTGAATCAGACTAGCACTTAGCCATGTTTTCTTGTAAAATATAGAACTGCTGAAATATATTCATATTTTACTATTGAACAAAGTATGCAACAAAGATTATTATTTGTGTGAAATTTTACAAAGTATTTACCATGTCTTAGAGGACACTGTTTGAAGCTTGCTAAATCATATCCCCAAAGAACACATACTTTTTAAGCAACATAGTGGTTGATGCCTGGAGTTAATTGCCAGAAATTACAGTCGATAATGACAACCAATTAACAACAGACTGGATAGAGCCCTAAATTGCAAACAGCTACCCTGAATTACGACAATAATAATAAATTTGTGGGTTTTGATGCGAACTGATTGGTAAATTTTAATATGAATCGCATATAGCACTTTGTAAAGTGACTCCGTTTGCATATAAAAACGTTTAGACGCTTTTGAAAGTTAAATTTAAATGAGATTATTTTATTTGTAACATTATTAAATTAAAATGTGAAGTGACTAAAGTATACAAAAAGTATTTCTAATGTTTTTGAAATCCAAGAGTATGTTTACACCATGTTAAAGTGACATCTTTATAGATGTATCTAGATTAAGACTTAATGTGATCATTACAATGTTCAAAGTCAATATGCCTTTAAGAAAATGTAACACATGCTTTACAATTTGCATTTATGTTAACCATAGAAACATGCAGTAGAACTCAAAAAAATCGCAGATTAAATTTTTATGAAATTTATATAGAAGATTTTTTTTATACCAATAACATAAAAAACAGACTTCTTTTTATTATGTTGTAAATATTTATGTTATTTGTTACTGTTAAAATAACTTTATAAAATGTTTTTAATAAGTTCGTTATAAATATGTAAAAAAATAATTATCTATTAACACAATAATGAATTTCCATTAATGTTTTTAATATATATAGTATAATATTTTGCTATTTAAAATATATGCGTTGTATTTATAATATTGCACATTTTATTAAAATATCCTTATACTAAGTGCCTTGAATTAACTTGTACTATTGTCTTCTGCATCAGTTGAAACAAAATGAGGTAATTTTAATTTCATCCTTAATTCTTTATTTTCAGCCTGTAAATCTAGTAACCTTTTTTTCAACTTTTCTGTCATTTCTATATAGGAGTCCTTCCATCTGAAAACAAAATGAATATAATACGATAAACAGCACAACATAATATACGAAACTGTTAAATTTAATGGTCATAAATTCCAGCCGTTGGTCAGTTACACAAGCGTCCATTATGGTTTAATGACAACTTTGAGCTCTAATGAATGCTTTGAATTTGAAAATTTGTATTGGTAATGATGCTTTAAATTAATTTTAATAAAAGTTTCTGCAACTGTTAAAAAAAATGACATTGTAGAAAGGAGATGTGCAAACGAATGTATCTGATCATACGTCTTTCTTACATATCTATGTAATTTTTATTATTGCATTGTTGTCCACTTACTTTTTATTTAATTCCATTTGATTTTCTAAATGTTTGTTTAATTCTATCAATTCTTGCTCTTTTGTAGTCACCATTCTGTAAATGAGTTTATAAAATATATCAATTAAAAAGCATTAAGAATATAATCTTGGCAACGCCATCTATACATACTTTTGACTTAATTCTGTTCTCGATGACAGCATAGTTTGCAATTTATTTATCATATTATGTGTTTCGTCCAATGATTTTTGAAGGTGTTCAACTTGTAATCTGAAAACGTTAAGTATCACTTGTGGTTAGTTGCCAGGCACAGCTAAAATAATGTGTACATAGTAATAAACGTCCACCGTACACTATTATGTACAATCTAATCGTGTTTAATTCTGATTTCTGAATGATTTTTCGTACGTGGATTTTTTTTTACAAAATCTAGGATGGTATAACGACGTTTTAAGGGAGATAGTATACACAAGAGGAAATATAATCATTAAGGAAACTTTCAAAATTTTTAATGTAAACTTTCCAATTTCATAATTGGGCCTTAGGAAGTTAAGGGAAGCGTAGCGAAATGGAAGGGCATTATTAAGTGGAGAGTTGTGGAATGTATAGTTTAATCCTAGGGCAGGAAAACGAGCATTGACAGATATGTGAGCGTCTAAATAAAGTAAACCATACGTATCGCTATTCAAAGACATCTGTATCGTTTCTGCGTAGTACTGCGTTTTGTTATACAAGATGCTGCAGGTCGCTGATCGGTCGGTTTAATTAAAACTCATTTTCGCCTCGCTCCTATGAAATAACAACATAACGCATCTTCCGGGGAATAAAGTGGTAAGTGACATTATGATTTATAGTTTTATTTATATTTTTGGCTTCTTAACATGGTAAATAGACCCTGTTTACCAACTCGATTTATTTTACATTTTTAGGTCTAATATAAATGAAATGAAACAACACGACCACTTTTTATCTGTGAAACAAATTTTGTCAAATATTATGTGAGAAAAAAGTAGGACCTCCTGCACAAAATCAAACGACTTTGTGACGCGTTAATACATAACATTTTTATTCTGTAGCCTATAGGTGCAAAAACAGTAACTACTTTTACGACTTTATTCTGGTGACAAATGGTGGTAATCGGCGTACACAGTTCGATGATTTATAGATACGAAATTGATTATTAAAATATTTTTCAAGTATGTTTTTATTCTGTTTTAAAATAGACTATTTATAATAGTAATAAGATTTACTGTATGAATATTGAACTCATCATTATCTCGGACTAAATCCGTCTACTACCACCTACTCGAACACACTGAGGACTAACGATAACGAGAAGTTAATAAAGTCGGAAGAAGCTAATAGCAAGTTAAGCTGGGCGTTATTGGGTTACCTGCCGTCCAAAGAGAGGGGGAGGACTTTATAATCCTAGATTCCGGTATTCCGGCTTGTTAATAACGTGGTTGCCATGAGAAACGAGTCAACCAGGGTAGTGTCTATTGTCATCAGAATATCAAAACGATATTAGTAGAATCTGCTTACGCACGAACGTGTAAGCACCCAGATGGCGAAGTAGAGAATATGTATGAGGAGATCTCAAAAGCCGAGTTATAAGACCTATATAATAATACGACATTATCCAAAAGTGCGTAGGATCGATCTAAGTGTAAGCCAATAGAGGATGCTTATTCTCAGAAGAAGTCGTTATAAAGATGATAATGACTATTTATATGAATAAAGGACAAAATTAAATAATATAGTTAATTAGAGACGAATAAACATAATCATTGATTGCCTAATAGGGATTTCACAACATAACAAAAAAAACTGCAACATTAATTTTGTTACAGGATTATAGTTCATAAATATTTATATCAGACATGATGTGCATTTACTTTGAATATGTTTTTGAGCTAGGGGCGCAATTATCAATGAAAAAACTTAAACAAAATTCTAAAGTTGCATTCATTTAATCACTGAGAACAAAATTTTGTGAAATGCTCACATAATTATCATAGTTACAACGATTTATTTATTAGTTATTAAATCTTGCAATTATTAGTTAGTTTGTTTAGTTATTTTTGTCATTTAACAATAGGAGTTCATCGCTTTTGTTTATGCCTATTTCCCGAAGAAAACTGCGATGGAAAAGCTCACAAAAACCTTTATATAATATACTAGTTGACCCGGCGAACTTCGTATGGCCTTATTCACCTTTTTTTTTAAAATCTTATATACACAATTGTCGAACACGTAAAAAATAGAATCATCCAATTTGGTGCAGTCGGAACTGGAATTCGGATGTTATGCGCGTACATACGTTTCGGCGATTTATTTTTATTCATAGATATTTAATAGCTCGCTCGGATATGTTTTTATTTTTCGATAACTCATTGGTTATTTTTTTTATAATGTAAAAGGCAATTTTAATTTACATTACATACATAACGTATCTAACTTATTTTTTTGAATAAGGATTAATACTATATTGTTAAAAATAGGTTCATTAATAACTCATCATTATTTAAGTAAACGTAAAAAAAATGGTTATTGTTGGTTATCCTTGGAATATAGACATAAACTTGCGCGGACTATTTTTAGATCTATGAAAGAAGTACAATTCCACCATACAATGTTTTGTTATTATAACTCAAAAGTTTTTGGCAGCGTTTTCGAGGAAAGCTGCCGATAGGCTTTATTATTTCAATATCGTCAGTTTGTACAAAACTTAAACTTACTATATACTAAAACCTTCATCAAGAAATGCTCTATCTATTGTTCGAAACCGCATGAAAACCCGTCCAGTACTTTTCGAGTTTATCGCGAATAGACAGACAGAAGCGGCGAGGGACTTTGTTTTATAATATGTAGTGATGATAGTGATAATTCTTACAATAGAGCGTAACATAGAAACTATGTTTTACACTTATTTAAGTTTTAAAAGCGAAATCTTTAGGAGACTATGTAAAGACTAGAGATTTTCTTTGGTATTTAGAACACTGGTCTTATTGAAAATATACTTGAATCTATCATTCTGCAAAATGGAGGTCTGCGGGTGTTTTGATATTTATTTTTACAATTTTATTATAACAAGAAGTTACAACAAGAAATGTTAAAAGATGCTATATTTTAGTGATGAGTTTGTATTTTTAAAGATATTTCTTTTTAATTAACGTTTAGGCTATGAAATTTTTAATTACAGCTTATTTGGACGTAATTTCCTTATAGAAAATCAGTTGAAAGTAAGTGATTTAGGGTGTACGCGGCTTCTTAATATTTTTGAATGATTTAAGCCCAGTTCGAACGATCTCATTTCATACTCACTTTAACTCTTCACATTGGTTCTTCAATAAACCTTCTTCCCAATTACGCCGTTTGATTTCTCTAGAATGTATATCTTGAATACGCTGTATATCAATAGCTAGGCATTGCTTCTCACACACAAGCTGAATGTTTCGCCTTTCAGATGTTACCTGTTTGATAACAATAAGTTACTCTAAATAGGAAGAATATAAATAGTATGGTTATTGCAAGAAAACAAAAATATTTTCTGTATATGACGACCTCCGTAGCCGAGTGGTTCGCACGCCGGTTTCAAGGTGTCGCCATCTCTGAGATCTCGGGTTCAATTCTCGGTCGGGTCAATGTATAAAATGAACTTTTCTATATTGACTCGGGTCTGGGTGTTGTGGTACCTTCGTTGTCTCAAATACTCCATAATACGGGGGCTTTAGCTACTCATCTTGGAATCTGAGCAATGTATGTGATGTTGTTAAATATTTATTTTATTTATAATCGTTAAATAAAAGCTCGAAGGACCCGATCGTAAATTTTCTTTAAGAGTTCATATTTAAGGTTTCCTAATTATTTTTATCTTTAAATGTATACAGTTAAAAGTAAAAATATGCGATGCTAATTAAAAAAAAAATCCTAATCAAACAAGATGTCGCTACGTGCTTTGAAACATTCGTAGTGTTCAAATTTGTTTATGATATCCATTTCGATTTTCTTGCCGATATAAAAGTAAATCGGGTTTAGAAATGTTTATAGGTATGAGTTATCGTCTATTTTTAGCGCTTCGTTTCTGTGTCATTACGTAACAACGTTTAAAGGAAAATTATTGTCTTAGGTCTAAATAATTTTGTATCGAGAATATTAACAGGAATGTATCGAATATAGTACCGCTGTCTAGTGATGTTCATTGTACATAGTAGTATCTGTTTTCTAAAATTACTCTATAGGTATTTTCTTCATCAGAAATGTTATAGATAATAATTGTTTTTTTTTTTACCAGTTCTTCAAACATAGCTTCTAGTCTTTGTTCAGCTATAGCGAGTTTAGGGGATACGGCTTGCAAGTTATCTTTTTGTTCCTTCAAATAACCTTTATTAGCGGCATGAAGAATCTTATTTTCTCTGTAAATAATTCCAAATAATATTTATAACTTAAAGCATACATTTACTACATAAAGTCATACAGCAATAAATTTGAACCCAACTATCATTAGAAAGGATTGAAATCGATTAGAGTGGCACATTGTAGTAATCTGGCGTTCTGTCGACTATTCATACATCTAAGTGGAATTACCTCAAAGTTTTATTCAGTAGTGTCCCTTTTTCAACCAATTCAGTGTCCAAATTTTTTATATGCTGAAGCATATCTGTTACTTTTTCGTTGTATTTTGTTGTCACTTCTTCTAATTCGATTCTACATTTTCTCATTGCTTCCTCTCGTAAATTAACTATTGTTTTTTTCATTTCCTGTAGTTCACCTGATAAATGTTAGGGTACCCTTATTGTATATTTCGAAATAATTATTTACATATAGTTTTGAGTTATGCTGAGATATCCTCTGGCCACCACCACCACTACCACCAAATGTAAAAAAAATAATCTTGTTATGTACCTGATAATTCTAAAATTCTCGCATGAGCTTCGTTCTTTTGTGTAGATACTAAATCAAAAAGTTGAAGAGCTTCTGCTACCTAAAAAGGACAATATGGTTTTAAATTCTTTTTAATGAGAACTAAAAAACAGAACTAAAAAAGCACCTCACTAGATGTCGATTCTACCAAAAGTTGATTTTTGCAGGAAACGAATGGATCAAAGATAGTTATTTCCGTTCCTTTTAACTAACATATGAAAAAACTAAAATTTGCAAAGTTCGAAACTTAGGTATCAATTCAAATACGAAAAGTACAAATAGGATATGAGTTGTTTATTGAGTTTAGAAAATTAATTTACTTTTATACAAGAAAGAAAACCAGTAAGGTTGCCATGGAGAAATCAAGAAATACAAATAAGGCTCTTTGAACCTTACCTTTGACTTAGCTTCTAATTCTTTTTTCATTTTGTCAGCACTTTCTTTTTGACACAACAGCAGTTGAGTTCTCATTTCTTCATTATTTTTCTTTTCTGCTGCTAAATTGATTTTAAATTCATCTAATTCTGCCGTGATTTGTTTCAGTTTGTTTTCGAGTTCTTTACCCCTTTCTTTGTAAGTGTTAATTTCTTTATCCTTGTATATCGATTCGGTTTCTAAGGAATTAAACTTCGCATTTAATTCTTTATATTTTGTTTCTAATTCTATGTAGTCTTGGAGAACTGTGTCGAATTTAAGCTGTAATTCTCGTATTCCTTCATTTGATTCCTATAATGATAGATCTTCTAAATATTTGTGATTATTGATAAAATTTTAGACATTGGCTTTTTTTGCTCTATTCAATGAATAATGGATTTATTATTAGTGCAACCTTAATGCACTAATACTAAAGTTCCAAGTTGTTTACCGTAATAATATATTTCATGGTAGGTAACTATATATGCTACTATGTGTAGTGTAAGCTAAAAATTAAAAAGATAAAATTTTTACTATGATTTGCATTTACTTACATGTTTACCATTATTGTCATAACTTTGATATGTTTTCAATTCAACTTCTAAAGCGTCGATTGTTTTCTGTGACGTCTGCCAAAGTACGTGTAGGGAATCTCTCTCCTGAGAAAAAATAAGTTGTGCTTAGGCTTGTCTGTCCACTACGCAGACGTCGGACGCGTGCGTCACACCATTCTATAGGACACTGCATGGTGATGCGAATTTTTATTAAAAAATTGTAAATATTTATTCGTATGCTTGACAGAATTCTTCTTCAAGAAGAGTATTAAGAATTTTTTATTAATTAACTTCTAGACCGGTTTTTTCATCAGTGAAATTTAGCTATACCTACGTATTTCATTTCAATGTTTCTTGGTAACTGTAATAGTATGTAGCCGAGTTTAGCTAGTATCTAAATGACAATATTGTTATTTATTTTGAAAATATTTATCAGCAGTACCGGAATATAGAAAAAAATATACATTAGGAGATATTATTTTCTATATTCGGGTCTGTGTGGTTGTGTTTTGAGTTTTTATAAGACTAAAGTAACTGACATGGCTCTAAAGGAATGTTTAGCTAATGCGGCAGCGGGAGTTGCACACCGATCCGAACCGAAGGGTTCTAGAATGGCAACGGCTCACCGGACTGCTGGTTAAGTTAGTCGCGTTTTGATTAGATATTGAGTTGGTCCATGTAGCAGGAGAGCTTTAAAAAAAATCACGGTTCTATGAGCGGCTGTGGAAGTGCAATGCAATAATGCCTTCCCCTCAAGGGCCAACAGGATCGCCCGTCGTAGAGATCTGCGAGGAAGGTCTGTGCCCAGCAATGGGCGTTGTACGGTTGAGGTGATGAAATAATAAACAGTACCTGCCTTAGTTATTAACTGAATTTGTTTTTTCAGTTCATCTATTTCTTTATCAGAATTATTGTTATGTAGTGGTCTCTCGTCGCGTTGCTTCTCTCTTAGTAAATGTTCAATTTGCTGTGATAATTTTTGATTGTCTTCTATTAATTTATGTATTTCTTGTTCTAGAATTGCCTGATTTTGCTGTAAACATAATTATGTCACATAACACGTAAAGAAAAAAGAAAAAAAAAAGTAATACTGAAGTGACTCGAATCATTAGGAAACTTTCCAGTGTTCATTATATTACCACAATAAAATAAGAAAAATAAAACTAAACTTTACCCTATAAAAGTCCACTTCATCATGTAGAGTTTTCAAATTATTATCCATGTTAGAAAATAAAAAAACAATGCTTTGATATCTGATCTTAATTCTATTTAAGGCAGATATATTTTTTTAAAATAAAATAACTATAAAAGAATTCTGGTTTAATTAATTGATCTAAATAAAATTAGAAAGTCAAGTAAAACACTTTGTTTACATTTCGCGCGGAGTGTCGTGTCTATGACGTTGCTAAGCAACATTTTTTTAATATTTTTTTCTTCTCTTGGATGCTTGTCCTTTTGCTAAGTAACATCAATGTGAATGTTGCCATGTCTTAGCATAATGTTCTCTAAAATATTGCGATATTGCGTCCACTATAAGAGTTAAGTCAAATAGAATTTCAATATTTACGATGAGATCTGTTAGAAAGGGAAATCGCGTATTAGTGTTAGCGACGCGCCAAAACGAATTTGGGGGTTGCGTACTGTGTTCTATTCACCAGAATATTCCATGTAACTTCAACTTGGATGGTTTGGATGTAAAAAGTTAAACGCTTCTCAAATTCTCAAACAAATATATAATTATCAGACCACTGAAAATTATCTTCTTGCGTTTGCTACCAACTCCTGAGAATATATAATAATCATTGTCCACCAGTGACATAAACAATATGAAAAGTATAAAAAGAATAATCGAAAGTCGAAAAGTCAAAAGTCAAAATAATCTTTATTCAAATTGACTTCTTAAAAGTACTTTTGAATCGTCCAACATTTTTTTAACCTACCACTCGTTCAGGACGTCTTTTGGCTTATAAGAAGAACGAGCAAGAAACTCACCAGCTCTAATAAGAGTAATATCGCTCTTATATCGACTTGAGCCTGGTCGATTTCATAATTTTGGAGCTGTATAAACAAAGATTTCTTTGCATTTTTAATAACACAAAAGACAGTTGTTGTCAGTTTGACTGACAGATGTAAGTGAGAAAAATGTTTTGATTCGATTTTTTGCCGCAAAATAAATTATGTATTTATTGTTATGATGATTTAATAAATAATTATGTCCAAGTAAGTAAATAAAATTCTATCGAAAATAAAATCATTACCAGAAACTAATATAGTATTTATGTATAAATATGTTTCAGCCTTTATTTTGACATCAGGGATGATCAATGGCCTTTGGTGTATGATGATAATTATAATGTATCCTTTATGGGTCTCGAGAAGTTCCATGTTTTTGATGCCAAGAAATGGCGCAACATTGTTCAGGTATAATTTTCTTTAAGTTATTATTTTATCCCAAGTAAAGATCCCAAGCAAGCATTCTTACATTACAGTAAATATACTTATTGAAAATAATTAATAGCAATGTTGTATTAAAAAGTTTAGCTGGGTTATCTGCACACAATATTCACAACAAGAAAGCAAGGCTATTGCCCGAGTTTCACTTTAGTCACGTTTCAGTGTCTGTTGTGACTAATGTCATTTTTGCTCATAATTAACTGTGAAAAGTTGTAGAAAAAATTCCTTCCTGTGTTTTTAAACAATGCATAAATTACACATTGGCAATGAGAAAAGCAAAAAGATATCATTTTATGCTTAAGTACTGTACTTTTTCTTCATTAAATTAATAAAACTAATAATACAATATTGAAGCAACTTTTGTGCATCATTTTCTACAACTAGGGGAGATTGGAGTTGACACATAAACCTTAGCATGTATATTTATCTTGAAGATGTATGCTGTATGTTTCTATAGGTGTATGTATATAGTAGGGAGATAACTATTTTTGATTTCTTCACACTGTGGTTGTATTATAATATAATGCTAAATAATAAAAGACCATTTTAAAATGTGCTATTGTATGGGTGTGTCTAATAATAATAAGGTTATTGATTACAAGTTGAAATTTTGCATGTGTTTTGAATTAATAATGTTATTTTGAAAATTTTACATTTAAACAATGTCATGAGTATTATCATCTACATCTACTTATTATATAAAAGTCGCTTCCTGCTGTCAGTACCCAGGATCTTTTACCACACAGGCAAAGCCATTGAAGGAAAGAATGTTTTTTTTTTATAAACAATGGTAAACACAGGAAATAACTATTATGATGTACAATACAATTATGGAAATTACATACTTGGTAATACAAGTGATGTTGTGCTTATACCATTATATTTTTCAGAATCTTAAAAATGCAAATCTTATTACCGATGAACGTTTGGTGAAGCCTCTTGAAGCCAAAAAAAGTGACCTGTTGCTGGTTCATACAAAAAAGTATCTAAAATCATTAAAGGTATGATTTTATTCTTAAATAACTCGCTAGGGTGGGGGGGTGGGAGGTAGAATCCTTAAATTAAAAATCTGGACACAATCCCACTTTGGGACTCTATTAAGGTCCCCTCTCCTTAAGGTATGTTCTTTATTGTTGATAAATTTTATTTCTGGCTATAGGAGTGACGTTTTATACATATGTATTGGAATTTTCCATACAAATATAGTAAAGTTTAAGTAGAATACTACTTAATATAATAAATAGATAATGTTTAATTGTTTGCAATGCATAGGCTATGTAACTACTGGTATTTTAAAAGGTATTCTAAAAGTTCTTTCATCTATGTAAATCTACATCATCATGGATGACATATGCTATAATTTTAACAACCTAAGTTATGTAAAAGAAGCTGGTATTATAATAATATAAGACTAATAATAAACAATAGCATTTCAAATCATTACTTGATAAATACATATTATTTTCAGTGGAGTGCCAATGTCGCTATGATAGCTGAGGTGCCAATAATCGCTTGTGTGCCAAATGTACTAGTTCAATATGCCTATTTAAAGCCTATGAGGTAAGCTTTTTAAATTATATTTATATTAGTATAAATAAGTTTGTATCAAATGCTATGGTACAATTTTTTTATTAGGTAGGATGATTTGGGGGTGACCTTATCTTTTTATGACAAGGGCCCCCTTGATAATTCTTACATAGGATCACTAAAACCCCAATGTTAAAAATGTTATGTAGGTATGTACAAACAATAATGTAAAGGAAAAACTAAACCAAATATATTTTTTTAATTTCTCCTTTCAACATGATATTTTTTTTAAATATGGAGGACAATGAGGTCCTATATACTCCTGCTGTTTGCGCGCTCGGTTTGCTATGTTAAGCATTACGCCAAATGGGTGATAGATGTCGAATAGTAGAATTGTTTGAATTCTAATAATGCTGAATTTTGATGGTTTTCAAATAAGAAAAATATATAGAGAAACATTTTTTTAACAAATTAAGAAAGGCGCATGTGGAAGGTGGCATTGATTTGAGCTTTAGCCACTAGCATTATGAGCAAAATACGTGACGTCTTTTTGTCACTAGTATTTTTTCCATTCCAGGTTACAAACAGGTGGTTCCATTCTAGCAGGGAAGTTATCTTTAGAAAGGGGGTGGGCCATCAATATAGGCGGTGGGTTCCACCACTGCAGTGGTGAGAGTGGCAGCGGGTTCTGTCCGTATGCCGATATTACATTGCTCATACAGTTCCTGATCTCTAATAACATGATCCAGAATGCAATGATTGTTGACTTGGATGCCCATCAGGTGATCAATTAATTAGAAATAGTATTTTTTGTATTGGTTTGTGGTCAATTCACTTATAAAATGTTGTGGAATATTGTTACATACATTTGGTATATAGTATGATACCATTTTATCAACTTGCCCTCCTTGGCCCACATGTCACGTCCATGAAATAAACACATTACCTTCCTTTGTGTCGCGCAGTCGGGTAAAAACGAACAGTGCAGTAGTGATGACGAAAATAAAAACTCAATAATTTTTCACAAATACTTTAAGTCTGAATAGTTCACGAATTTTAAATAAATAAATACAATAACTATATGACAAACACAATTCTTCGTCAAAGAAAAAACACAAAACAATGTTCCCAGAATCCGAAACTATCTATTTATCAATAAAAATAGTTAATACACAATTTCTAGTTTTCCAGTACTTAAAGATATTTACTGTTATGTCATATGGCACTATGATGTGGGGAATGGCTATAGATATAGTCTGTATTTATTTTACAAAAAAGAGCAGTAAGGGCTATTTATCAATTAGATTCAAGAAAAACTTAGAGATCAATTCAAAGAAATTGGGATATTAATAGTAGCCTCTCGATCGTTAGAAAAAATTACATTACATTAAACATAGTCATGTACACAATTTTAATACTAGAAAAAAAGAAAAAATTGTTTTGCCGTCATGCTAAAGAAGGTTCTATCGACATATATGGGTATACACTACTATAACAAATTTAAAACCCATATTAAGAATTGTCTACTCAGTAAAGGATATTATACTGTTGATGAAGACTTCTAATATTGTAATGGAATGTTACTTCATATTTTAATGAAATCATTTTTTAATCTTGACGCCCTGAATGAAATAAAACAGGGAAAAAAAGCAACCCGAGTTTCTTGCCGGTTCTTGACTTTCACAAGTGTTTGTAACAGTCTAGACTGAATAAATAATTTTGATTTTTGATTTTATGATATATTCTTAATATAAGTATATTCTTTTTTGTTTTTCTTTTTATAATTGCCAGAGTGTTTCAATAATCTATGATAATAAAGTTTTTACGTGAATGTGAAATGTTTATGTTAGAGGTGAATAAATATAAATAAATAAATATGGAATATTGTATGTATGTATAGTAGGTGCCCCTCAGTTCCCCGCAGAGGAATAGTGTATACAAAGATTTATGTTGACTTGATCCACCACAACAGCAACTCGGCACATCATTATTAACAACTGTACTGTAATAAACACTGTCAGTTTTCAATTAATTGACGTACCGATGTGCGTCAGTTTTCGCCACCTAACATCACTTTAAATAAAACCATTTTACCATTTTCTTTTTATAATACTAGCAATACTAGCATAGATGTTTTGTTCAGGGTAATGGATATCAACACGACTTCCTCGGGGTACCCGAAGTGTATATAATGGATATGTACAATCGTCACATATACCCTCGGGATAAGGAGGCCAAGCAAGCGATCCGAAGGAAAGTCGAGCTCGGCAATAAAGTTGAAGATTTGGAGTACATGCTCAAGCTTAGAACGTGAGTAGAGTATTGCATTTTTGATCTGACTTCTGGGGCACAAGCCTTTCTTTGGATAGAAATATTAAGGAGAACGGCTTATACCTACCATGCCGGACCAATGCCGAGTAGGTGTTAACTAGTAGGTGAAACAATGTAATAATAAAATTTTGGCCATTCATCTAATGACCGATCCTTGCGAAAGTCGTTTAATCTCCGTTGTAGCAAATTAAAAGCGTTAACCACTGAGCTCCTTGCTAGCTATCATAAACACTAAAATTAATTTCTTATATAACAGATAGTTGTTATCCGAGATGTCAAAGAAAGTAAAACGTTTGTCAATTTTCAACTTCCTAAGTTTTCCAATCTCCATATAAAAATTGCAACGGAGTGTTATTGCAACTACAGATTGTAATGTATGGAATACAACCTCTTGGCAAACAGAAGTTAGCTAACAATGACAAAAAGTATCTACACCAGCAATTCATAGCTAAATAACTTATTTATTGCTTACTCTTTTTAGAAAAAGCGAGCAATAAATAAGTTATTTATTATAATTTAAATCAATGGAGCATCCAACTTCTATTCTATGCTTATTCTCTATTTTTTATTGTTTGAAATTTTAGAAATCTTAAAGCTGCACTGAAGGAATTCAAGCCAGATATATTAGTTTATAACGCTGGAACAGACATATTGGACTCCGATCCTCTTGGTCAAATGAGGATAAGTGAAATTGTGAGTGAAAATTGATTCCTTTTAATTACAGTTTTACTAAACCGTGGACTGGGTAATTATTTAATTTTGTGATCAGAATACAATCAGATTGCGATAATTTTTGAAATCATCAATCTAGTAATAACTTCACTGAGCACAGGTCTTTCCTACGATAAGAATTAAATAGGTACAATGGGCCATGACCCACCACGCGGGCCCAGTGCGCATTGGTGGATCCTAACGACTCCAGATAGGGGAGCGGGGGACTAGTTGTAACAATTTGTGATCTCTTGGCTATAAAAGCTTACTTGTTTAGTATTTAGTAAATCTAGCAGTACTCTTCTTACTAACAATTGTTCAACTATCGATTAAAAAAAAAATAATCAAACCTGTAACAACATTTTGTAACAACTGTTTTGAAGACAATCGTGTGAGTGTTATAACTTACCCCATGATTGGGACCAGTTGTATCGCGCTGGTTTTATATTTTAGAATGATAAATAATGGCATGAAAAAGTTCAGATACGCTCACTAAAGTAGGTTTAATTTATATTAAAGCAGGTTTAAATCATTAAGTTTCATTTTTATTCTAATAGAGAAATATTATAAACCTTAGATATGTTATTACACAAATTAACTTAGAATTTTTAGTTTTATCCTTAATCTAATAAAAAATATTAAAAATTGACTTTAGGCTCACAGCCATTTATGATAACAAAATCTCAATTTCTTAAGTAATCAGCCTTTTGATTGACGTAGGTAAAATATAAAATCAGTCTTACTTAAACTAGCCAAAACACTCCACAACGAGTTTTTTTTTTTTAATAACGTATATTAAAAAAAAGTTGATGTAAAATTACAGTTAATTATAATCAAACTAAACAAATGCTAAATATATTTGTATATATATTTTTATTTGAAATCTATGCTAATCAGTTCCGTATAAACCAAAAAAGTCAGTTGCCTAACTTTATTGAAGTGCCTCCACACCACTGCTTCCTGCGCTGTCCGGCGGGATACTGACCGAGCTTATATGATACATTGCGTGTTAAATAGTAGGTTGAGTTGAAAATCAAAGGAATATTCTTCATTTGTGTAAGGTCAGAAATGCTTGTTAATACTTACCCCTGATACAATCAGCCCCCGTTCCCCTACAGCTTGGGGAGCTTTAGAAAGACGGTGCGTTTAGAAAATGTGGTGTGTACAGGCTCTAATTGTTTGTAATTGGGTCGCTCCTACAAATCCGCTTGAAGGCCCATATTAATGATCCAAATTTAAGAAATAATGGTGGTTAATGAAAACTCTTGTTGCTATTTAGTTAAAATAACCGAGTATTAAAAGAATACCCTGGTATTCTTTTAATTACCCAGAATACCCTGGTATTCTTTTAATTACATCAAAAACTTATAAGAAGTATAATTTTGTTTTTTTTTTTGTTTTTAGGGAATAGTGAAAAGAGACGAATTTGTATTCGAGATATGTAAAGAAAATAATATACCGATAGTAATGCTGACCAGCGGAGGGTACCTCAGGAAAACTGCTAGAATTATAGCAGATTCTATTGTAAATTTACACAAAAAAGGACTTATTAGTGGAAAGGGTCGAGCGAAATTGAATTAAATTTATTATTATATTGATTCATTCTTAAGCTAGTGTGCTGTACATAAAATGATATGGTATTTACAAAAAGCTAGAAAAGGCATAGAGTACCGCTACTATGAATTGTAGTTTGTAAAATGATGCATTACATCCTAATCACTCGAATCTCGAATTATAATACAAAAAAATTTCTTTATAGAAATTTGTCATCTTTGGTGGATCGGTTTGTTAGAAATTTTAGTTCTCATTGCGGAGGAGATACGATAATGGCGGTAAGAATATTGAATGAAATGTAGTTTATAGTACTATTAGACGCAATACTTAACCAGTGATATAATTGATCTCAAGTACAATGAAGTGAGAATATTATTGTATAAATGCAAATGAAATTTGCGATACTCTTTGTTAATGTTTTAATGTGATATTATTCTGGATTAGCTTTAGAGTTTATTTTCCAAATAAATCATATTTATCTTACTTAATAAAAATATCGTTTTATTTTAAAACTAACGCCCACGCCTTCGTCCTACCCCTTATTGCATAAGCTATCTGCCAGTGAAAGTCCCGTCAAAATCGATCGAGCCCTTTCAGAGATTAGCCGGAACAAACAGACAAAACAAAAATGAAAACATGTTATTCTGGTATATGTACCGTGAATACATATGTACCTATTTAGTGAAAAGCAGATATTTTAATATTGCAAACAGACACTCCAATTTTATTTATTTGTATAGATTATGTTGTTGATAACTCGTTTAATATCATCATCATCATCACCAGCTTAGAATGTTCCCGCTGCTGGGGCTGATTTTCCCTGAGGATGTGGAATAGAATATAATCGAATAGGGAGAATGGTCTATGACTAGTTGAGATAACTGCGCCGTAGAGGTCCTGAATTAGAAGATTTAAGTAGTAATATTAATACAAAGCAAAAAAATTGGGACACCTTTATTGAAAAATTACACGTACGGAGGAGTACTTAATTTGGCACTTAAAGAAAGCATTAAATTTTTACGCAAGACAAAATAAAACTGGTATTATATCTATCGACCACGAATAAAATTACACAAACGTATAGAGTCATGTGTATATAACAATGGTGGTAGGATGGGATCGAATTGAAAAACAGAAATACATTTGGAAGGTAATTTAATTTCAATAAATAAGGTATTACATAATGATATTGTTGTAAAATGACTTTTAGTAGAATATAGTCTATGAGTCTAATTTACAATTAATACTAATAACAAATTGGTTAAGGCTGGCTGTTCTACGATTCTTCACCTTTTGAATTGAATGAACTGAATTAACAGTTGATATCAACAAAAAAGAAATAGGTATCCGTTTAGTCCGTATTGCTCCTGAAGTACTCCCCTTAGGGGCAATACAAGTCCAAGTATTTCTCTCTACTAAGTAAAAACCAAAATGCTTTATAATGTTAGTAGTTATAATGTAATTGGCGTTATTAAAAATAAAAGCGTTAAATAAATTTAATTTATAATATATATTTAAAATATATAACTTTAAATAACTTGGACTTTTTGCCCCTAGGGGTAATACTTTCGGAGCAATAGATTCACAAAATCGGCCCAAAAGTTTTCGGTTTATAGGTATGCTATCAAATTTACTAAGTGCTATTAATGGATAAATAAAAACATAAAATTAGTCCTAACTTTGCATTCAATTTTATTGTATTAAGGCTAAAAATTAGTTGATAAAACTTTACAGTTTTGTGTACTGTAATAATATGCAGCTGACAAGCCAATTTCCCTTAAAAAAAAATTAGGCAATTAACTCCTTTTAAAAATTTTATCTAGTAAATTATACATTAAATTAAATTAAGGTTCATTTTGCAATATAAACTTTTAATCACACGAATCATTCATATTGTAATTATTCTTATTTTAAAACTTTTTCAAGTTTATATTTTTTAGTTACAATTTTTCAGAATGATGTTCGTAATTGATTATAATAGCAAAATTCATATATTTCATCATCATATCAATGTATGAAAATTTTATAAGGAGAAGTGTAGCATTGAGGTGCATTTTCATCGGTGGTTTGGATCAGCTGTAGATCGTGAATGACTTAAAAAATGTGAAATATCCGCATTTGATATTGAACTTAATTGTTAACGTGTTAATGATTAAAAACAATTGAATAATATAAGTTAATTACATGACCATAGATTTGGTTAAATCTATTCATGAATCTTGATTGTTTCGAATTAACTTACCTATACATGTAAAACCACAATCGATAAAAATTATCATTATCATATGAAAATATAAAATTTATTTATTTTATAGGTGAGTTTTAATTAACCACAAAAATTGTACATCACAAGGTGACATAAAAGTTTGAGCGATAGTAACGACTTCAGAAACTAACCCTCGCTCATTATACATCTTATTGAATTCAAGTAAGCCTGTTATGTTAATATTAAATAATTTTTAAGACTATTTTCCAAACAACAGAAATTGCAAACTTTCGTATTATCGACATGCGTTTGGCAAGAATAAAATTTACAACTTTCTAAGGTAAACACTACACAAATGCTAATAATTTTTCATTGGTGTAACACTAGCTTTAGATGGGTAAGTTTATATAGTTAACTAGGTAGTCTACACAATAGTATTTCACGAGTCTGGTGCATTTATCTGGTGGTTGTGTTGAACTGAGAGTAGTAATCATCGGTTGGTGTGTTGTTGTTTACCACCTCGCGGTAATATTTCTCCTTCTCCTTCTGCTGCAGCGCCATGAGCTGGTTCTCTTCCAGCAGTTGGCGAGCGATCTCCCTGTTTAACGGGAATGACATCATCAACAAAGTTCCATTAGTTTTAAAAGATGACGCTTCTGGTATTTCAATTTTATTAGTGAAAAGAACATAGTTTTTATTACGTAAGATTGTTTTGGCAAATTTTTGACATTTCAGAGTGCCAGGGACAAAGTGGACAAGGGTTAATAAATCAAGGATTGCCCGATTTATTTTTTGATATAAATTTTTAAATAATTTCAAATTTATCGCTAAAATTTGATACTCAAAATCTACCTTAGATTTATTGAAAACTCTTTTTGCTTTGAAAATTTACTTGAATCGATTCTTCAATATGATATCAATTATTATTTTTAGTGCAGCATAAGAAACATTGTACCTTTTTTTTTTATTTACTAAGAAACTAAACAGCTTTTTTTTTACAATCATTTTGTTTTCACTTATATATCTAATCTAGCCAATAACAGAGTTTCATAACTTGAAAAATTCTCTACGAAGCAAAGTAAGCAATACACATAAATTATTATTATTATACAGTGTGATAACAAAAACAGGTTCCACTTTGTGTACATAACTATTTCTGTAATTTTTTTATTTTTTTTGGTCGTGAGAAGCTATTATTGATAACAATTCTATACACATACAAAGATGAACAATACATATAGTCCCACATACATATGTATATTATACATACATAAACACATAATACACACACAATTGATATTTAGTCTCAGCAGTCCAAGTACTTCCCTTTTCGTTATCAAATAATAATACCATTCAAAGTTATTTTGTCAATATTTGAGTTAATTTGCATAAAAAAAAAATCTAAATTAATTAATTGGTTAAAGAACTAAAAATATTTTAATTACATAACAATTTCCGAGGTTCAGCATAACAGTTTTGAGATCAATTGTTTTTTAAACTGTGTTTTGGATAAATGGAAAATATCTACGTCGTGAAATTTTTTATTGTATGTTCTGGAGATACGAGTCATGACAGCATTTTTACCGTAGTTAGTTCGGTGTTTGGGTATACTAAGCAGAGGAGTTTTTCGTGTACGATATTTCGGAGTGCAGAAAGCAATACCGGCAAGAAGATTAGGACTATTTAAGTTACCGCGCAATATGCCATACAACAGGCACATATCAAGCAATTCGCGGCGAGATTCCAAAGACAAGAGATCAAATTCCCGACAATCATCATCATAAGGACCGTGAAAATGTGTACCAGTCTTATAATTTAAATGCTTTATAAATTTCTTCTGTATTCTTTCTATCTCATTTATGTATTTAAAAAAATATTTTTATCATTGATATAACTTTTTTATAAAACTCTAGGTTGTCTTCCACATAAATATGCTAAACCTCAGATTAAATATTTTTGAATGGAACGTGGACGTTAAAATATGATTTAATTTTACTTTTTACGGAAAATTACCTTCTTTTCCTTTGATCCTGAATATCCAGACGTGCAACTTCTCGCTGTATAGACTTGGCGAGCGCTTGCCACTCTGCCTCCATCTTATCTTGCGCTTCACGTTTCGCCTACAGTATATACTTTGCTTTAGAACACAATGACAGCACTGACAGCACAATGACAGCACTATACTTAAACAAGACTGTATTGTTTAAATACAGTGCTGTCACATTATCTTATTTAACTCAGTTGACTTTATCAAAATACTCGGTAGCTACTACTAACTTAGAACCTATGTAGTCTCATTATGTAAATAAACTAAAAAAGGACTTTCAAGCACTCGGCACTCTTAATGAAAAATCATGTCAAAAATAATTCATATCACAATCCTTTTTGATGTTAAAATGTTTTTGTTTCGACGTCAAAATTATCCATCAAGTTGGAAACAACAAAAATATTCATTTTGATTTATAATATATTTATAATATACTAATAATTTAATATATATAAAATATTTAAGTAGTTTAGGATACCAATTGGTAACACTAACTGTCAAAGACAAGCAAAATCGGTTCAGTAGCTTGTAAGACCTATTTGATGCAAACTAACAAATAAATTATCAAATATTTCCCCTTTAATAGGTTAGTATATGAAAGAAAAGGGTAGTATAATATATCTCTCATATATGATATATATCTCTCTAAGATCGATCGATCGAATATTGGTAAGTGCTATGCATATATTATTGGATTATGAGAGAAGAATATTTACCTTCGCTGCCGCCATTTGTTCTTTCTGAGCGGCGTAGAATTTTTTGAGCTCCTCTTGGTTCATACCCTTGTACATGAAGCCGATCGCCCTATTAAAACATAATGTTTATTGTTATGTTAATTTTTGACGACCAAACAATAGTGTTTATTTTTTCATATTAATATCCATGCACAAATTTAAGAACACACGCCCTGTTCTTTATTTATTTTCCGTCATGGGTGGCTAAGAAGAAAGGAGTTTCTCTTTGCCAGGAAGGAAGGAAGATATTGCTTCGTAGCAATAAGGCTGCCTTGAGTATAGCTACTCTTTTGTTGCATATTCGTAAGGGTTCTGCCTGTGAAGCAAGAAGGTTGTATGTGCCCACGGTGTGGTGCCAGATTCACGCATTATGTGTAGTGTGCAATATAGAACTTTATTATTATTTACTTCATTGAAATGATACCTATTTTTGCCGAGGGCACTCTTGGCGACGTCAGGATTCTCCGTGAGCATATCCGAGGTGAGGTTGTTGTACATTTCCGCGGTGTTGTCGGCCTCCTCTTGCTCCTTGATAATCTGCTCCAACTGCTTCTTCTCTGCTGCCTGCATTTTAAATAAAGAAGCAACGAAAAAGATCCGCAATTGTCACTCGTTTAACTAAATTATGTGAAAAATACACGATTTTCAATGAATGCCAGCATGGATTTCGCAAGGTAGATCAACAGTAACTGCTCTATACGTCTACATGTATAAAATATTACAAATAATAAATAGTCAAGAATATGCTATAGGCATATGACTGTTCTTTTGTAATTTGCAAATTTCGAAAATATAGATTGAAATTCATCATCATCATATCAGCCTGTTGCAGTCCACTGCTGGACGTAGGCCTACCCCAGAGAGCGCCACCAAACACGATCTCCCGCTTTCTTCATCCAGCCACTGCTGGCCACCTTTTTGAGGTCGTCAGTTCATCTTGCCGGGGGGCGTCCGACACTACGTTTGCCAAGATGTGGTCTCTATTCGACAACCCGTCTGCTTCACCTTTCGTCGATTCTGCGACAGATGTGGCCAGCCCACTGCCACTTCAGCTTGCTACATTTCTGGATGACATCCATCACTTTAGTCCTCTGCCGGATGACCTCATTCTGGATTTTATCCCTCAGAGAGACTTCGAGTATAGACTTTTCCATAGCTCGCTGAGCGACATGTAGTCGGTGGGGCAACTTCACTGTCATGTTCCACGTTTCGGCCCCATAGGTCATGACTGGTAGGACGCATTGATTGAATACCCGGGACTTCAGGCATTGTGGCAGTGTGGACGAAAAAATATTACGCAGCTTCCCAAATGCTGCCCAGCCCAGCTGCACTCTCCTGCTGATTTCTCGCTCGAAGTTGTCTCTACCCAACCGTCCCAGTATTTGCCCAAAGTAGATGTATTCCTGGACAACTTCGAGTGATACACCATCGACGAAAACGGGTTCTGGACTTGTGTGTTGAACATGATTTTATTTTTGTCCAAATTCATCCCCAGACCCACACGTCTCGACGCAGCATTGTGACTGTGCAGCATTTTTTGCAAATCCTGCAGCGATTCTGCCATAATTATAATGTCATCAGCAATTTTATTGAAATTTGAGTAAGTATATTGAGTTTTATAAAATTAGGTCTACAGCTCTCTATGTCCGCTATATTCACCAATATACGAATGCATCTTTTTGGTAAAAGATGCATACGTATAGTTAGCCTTATATTTAGAAAATAGGGAACAGTTTGTCCAGATAGATCACTATCGGCCGGTTTCTGAATTGAGAATAGTATCAAATCTCAGCTGATTATTTCAATAACTTCAGTTTTTAACATTTCAATTGGCATAAAGTCCTAGTTTTATCAAACTGCATCTAGTTTTATCCACTGGTTATTAAAAAAATTTAATCAGAAACAAAAAACTTGTTTAAATGATGTTTAAAATGACTTAAGTACGGTTTGAGACGTGCTTAACTTTAAATTGTCAATTCAGAAAACGGGTGTATGATCCTCAAAAAAATACTCTTTTAAATGTGATATCGGAGAAAAAGAAAACTCCACAAGGTAGTATCCTAGGATGCATTTTATTCCTGATATATATAAATGAAATATCGACCTGTTTTAATGCAGATAGTGTCATTTACGCTGATGATGTATCTTTACTCATACCATGTAAAAATAGTATAGATGTACAAGAACAATGTAATTATAATCTAAACAAAATAATGAAATGTTTAGAAGATCATAATTTAGAGCTTAATTTAAATACAACAACACTAATACAATTTAAACCTAAAAAAAACTTATAGAGACCAAACTTACCTTTCAAAATAATAATATAGAATTTGTATCATCTTGTATCATCTTTTGTATCATTGTTGGGAATAGAGATTGATTCAGACATAAGTTGGAAAATACACATTGATGGAGTAGCATTCAAACTGTCAAAATTTACTTATGAATTGCGAAAGAACAGTCATCTGTATGAGCAATCCAAAGATGTATATCTTCAAAATCATTGCTTTAGAAAGCGAAACAAATTATTATTTATTCCTTTAACAAATCTCCTCGGCAAATTAAATCGAATGACGCAATTGCAAGAACACTGGTATTTATCTAGTACATAGGTAATACTCACCAAAGCCTCGTTGTAGCGGAGATTGGCCTGCCCTAGCCGGTAGCGGCATTCGCGTTCCATCTGATCTAGCTCACTTGCCCGGGCGTCTCGAGCTTTGATCGCCATCTAACGTATAAAGAGAGCTATAAAAACTTTCATTACAAATGTCGAGTAAATACCTATCTAGTTATTCTTTGCTTTAAGTCGAATATTTCACATGTTTTCTTGTTAATTCGCCTAAGAAACTCAGGTAGGTATCTCTGCTGGATCCCAGGCCCTCTCCTCAAAACGCACGGAGCGCGTTTAGTGAGTATGCCATCCGCGTTTCGAATAGCTTTCGGGAAGGTCCGTGCGGATGGAGAGGCCCACACGTCCCCTGGCGCCTGTCAAATAGCGGAGACAGTGCATAAAGCATTCCTCAACTTTAAAAACAGGTAGGTAAATCTATACATATTTAGCTGTAAAACAAGTACTTAGTTTAGAGCTTCTGCATGTTTACATGCTACTCCGCTAGCATTTAGACTTTGGCCTTTGACCCTAGAGAAATCTTCTGTTATCTGTCGTATTTGTAAGGACATTTTTCCATGAGCATTATCGCATAAGACTTCACAAAACGATCAAAATGATGACACGGCATACTCTATTTTAATCAGCAAGTATATCAGACTTAATAAAAACGGACCATTCATTGCTTCCTATACGTTGAGAGGACCAACATAGGAGGATGTCAATTATTCTGTATTAGTTAATAACCATATAGGCAGCTTCGGCTTTCTTCCGCTCTTCCTCGGCCGCCTTGCGTTCTTGAACCTGTTGTTCCAACCAAGAGTTCTTCTGCGCGGCCATCATCTTTTTACGCTCTTCATACTCGAGATCTTCACCTTCAAATCTGAATTTATACTTTGACGTAAGTAGAGTATTAAATTCAAGTAGGTATTCATAATACAGAACAAAATAGCATGGGGGACGAGCAAACTTATATTAGTAATAAAGTAATTATTATTACGTATTTTTTATTATTGACGAAATAAATTAAACTTTAGGAAGGTGTGTAGTATTTTTAAAATTGTATTGCAAACTTATATTGTTTGACTACGATTGATATGTAAGATTTGAAAAAAAAAAAATGTTAAAATTTCCCATTTCTTGGATATATTAACATTTCTTATTTTAAAAACTTATATTTGATAAAGTTTGTATTGCAGATATTTAACTAGGTATACCAAAATATCAAATGAGTAATGATCTCAGCACTGTATGGGATCTTTTTTAATATAGATTTCATTTCTGTGTACTTCTGGGCGCTGGACTTGCCCACAGGTTCCCCGTCTGATGCTCGCGGAGGCAGCTGCTTCTTCAGCACGTCAGGGTCGTTGAGATCGAACTCGCGACGGTCTTCAGGACGCTGGTACATCTGACGAAAGTTATCTATCTCCATGTTGATGCGGCGACGTTCCTGCAGGTTCGTTCGTTAAATAAATGGAGCGACATCATACGCGGTCGACATAGCTTATAATAAAACGGGTGAAGTCGCGGGAAAACATTTAAATAAATAAGTTGGCATGTACGTACACGCTTTAGCGCTTAAAGAAGAGAAAATGAGACGCCAGGAATAGTCCAATTGAAACAGATAAGGACAGATAATTGCTTATTGCGCAAAGTAGAGCAATAAGGTATAGCAATTTTGTTACACAAACTAGTCTAAATTGAAATTAGTCCTATCCAACTAGAGTTTAATTATATTTCTTATAACATAAGTCATACAACATAATTGGGACATTATCTTACTTCGGCTATACGGTGATTAGCATATTCATCAAGTGTTCTTTGAGAATATTGTTAAAATGTATTTACGAGAAAAAAAATGAATACAATGATTGAATTTATAAGTTTCTTGTTTTGTTTTTCATCAAGAAGATTTAGTAATTTCCGTTTTGTGCAAATCATACATTCAAATATCTTATTACTTTTAACCACATTTTATTTGAACTTTATATTTTCTATAGTGATTTAGTATTAAGTTTTGAGTTGGACTGGCGCACCTTGGGTTCAATTATAAAATCAAACTTTTTATAGGTTTTCCTGTAATATTAGTAGAGTAAGCAATTGCTTTCTACATTTCAAAACTTGTAGTTTCGTATATAATAGGGACGAAGGAGAATGGTCAATTTTCGCCTATTTTCAAGAATACTTCTAATGTTACATGCCCTTTCAAAACTTTTTGAGTTTGAGTTGTACCGTCAAAAAGTTCCTTCTTCCGTATAACTTCTTAATTTATCTTACACATCTATTTTTAGGTCAAAGAACGTGCATGTTTTAAGCCTAATTAATTTCAACAAAAATCATCCCAGTGGTTATGGGGCGATTTAATTGTGACAGACAGACAGATCATTATATGAGCGATCTTATAAGCGTTTTGTTTCAATTTGAAGTAGGTACCGAACCCTTTGAATTAAGTCATTGAATAACCTCTTTCTCCCTTGCTTCAAGCACCACAGCGAGGTTGCTATCCTTGATCATCTGGCGGGCGAATGCGAGGTCCCGGCGCGCCTGTTCGTCACGCTCCGCTCGTTTCTCCACCACTTGTCGTTCCAAAAATGGAAGATCCACCTATAATAAAAACAACTTTGCATGTTGTAAATATATAAAAATATATGGAATATTCCAACGAGTATTCCAATAATCAATTGAAATAAATAGGATTTAGATTAAATGTGCCTAGAATTCCGCTTGTGTTTTTGCTTGTATAGATTTAAGAACTTTTGTCCATAATATATATGATACATTAAGTTTATCCAGGATGAGACTTTATTGACATATAAAATATGAATTTTATCGAAATTCGCTCGTTTTTACGTGAAAAGATAATAAACTTTTCTAGTAGTAATATCAATCGCATGTTGTTTTAGTATTTGATAAATGATTAAATTATGGAGACAAAGACCAACAAACAAACACGTTTCCCGTTTATGATATCCATTTATATACGAAGTCGATGTGACAAAAACTGGACTTAAATATAAAAACGATTTCTAGCAGCAACAGTAACAAGTTCCTGAAAAAACGATCGGCTCCTAATGCTAAATGTAATATTAATTCTTATTGATTTACCGCGCCGAAAAGAATTTTAGAATTGTATGACAACAAATGACCCTATATACACGAGTACGCGCTAATTCATCAAAGTTCTTATCTCACATGTAGTTTGAAGGAAATTATTTTTTGTGCATTCTTTGGAACGGATAAATCTGCTATCAGCTTTAGCCCCTGTCTAGAAATATGCGAGTTTCGTTATACATTATTCTTTGGTAAGGAATAGTGTTAGAAATTAACATAACATTTGCAGCATTATAATTGAAATCGTGTCTGAATTCGTTGCGAATTATTACTGGTGGAAAAGTATAACTGGTTAGTAGGTAGAGTAGTTGTCCGGTTAACGAAAAGTTAACTAGTTCGAATCCCGACTCGAGCAGTCAGGGCATCTGCATTTATTATCTATAAGATGAACATACACCGATTTTCCTGTTCCGGGCGTTGAAGATTCTAGATCGCCGCTCCAGTTCACATTGCCTTCTCCTCTCTCTATTCTGCGCCTCTTTACGGTCTCGTTCATTGGCGATTTGTAGTTTCATCATTTTGTTAAGTTTCTAATAAAGGAATAGTATTAAAAAGAAGCACTGGTAGTATTAAAAAAATGCACTAAAAAACTTGCAAGCATATGAATACAGCTTCAAAGTATCAATGGCCGAAATCAATCAACGAAAACAACAGTTGCCATGACAAATGTTTTGTCATGGTAACTTGTCGTGCTTAGATTTTCTTTAAATGCAACAGTACTAATTCAAAAGAGGTTTTACAGTTTGAGAGTTTAAGTTGAAGGCGTAAATACATAAAAATACTGTTCTATCTCCACGCGTGTGGTAATGAGTTGGTGAAATGCGCGGAAAAAGTTATTTTTAATAATTTACTCGCATATATAAAAAAAATATTTATGTATGCAAATCATTACCATTATTGTAAGAATATTGCATATAGCCGTCGCGTCGGCTACAGTGACTAATATATAAAAAAAAATACAAAAATAGATAAATAACTGAAGGACATTAGTTTTAGTTCAGGGGTAATGTTGTGATTTATTGTATCGAGAAAATTTTATAAATTTACGATTTGATAGTGACAAAACCTTTAGAAATATGTTGTTGTTTTCTCATTTCTAGTTATAATTAGAGGTCGGAATTAGGTAGAGTTATTTATGTACTTGTATTGTTGATATTAATGTGGACCTTCCCGGGATTTCTTTATTTCTTCTTTCTTTATTTCTTTCTTTCATTAATGTAAGTTTGGCAACGTCGTGCGTGCAGTAGTGTAAAAGTAAATAACTTTTTATTTAAAAAATCACGGGATTTTTCTGCTCTTTAAAATTAATCTCGAGATTTGAGGCATATCCACTTTATTCTTTCGCTGTATGAAATCAGTGTAAGTACATGAATAACTCTACCTAATTCCGACCACTGGTTATAATTTATATGGTGTACAAAATCAATTGAAACATCGTTATTTGTAGTGGATGCGCTGTACAAATAAATTTATACTATATAAAACACTATACAAAGTATACAAATAATAAAATATAATTATCTATTAAACAATATTTTGAAGAACAGTTGCCCGGTCAGTGAGACTATCCGAATCCAGTGGCATGTGAGACGTTATTTTAAATGACAATTCATACTATTTAGCGAGTACTCCCGAGTGAAGAGCGGCTGTTTGACGGATACATTGGGAGTCACGGTCCTCAGTGGTGAGGGAAAAGACTGAAGAAGAGATTCTTAAATAAAAAAAAGCAATTAGAAAAATATAATCATACCTTAAAATAATTACATCTACTATATTTTAATATTTGATATACTTATTCAATCAAAATTTTAAAATCAATGATAAAAGCTGTTTCTTAATTGAAAATTAATGTTTATTTACAGTAAAATAATACAAGAGAGTTTAGTACAAATTGACTTAAACGTAGCTATCATATAGATAAAATAATATTTAGTATAAAGTTTATGTAATCAAGCTGTTAATAATTATCACCATTATTTTTTATAATTTTAAAATATAGTAGAATTACCTTCAGATAAGCCAGTTATGCATATATTTAGAACATTAATATGATCATTCAACGTTTACGTCACACAGACTCATAAAATTGAACAACAAAATAAGACTACATGTTATTTCTCGTTATTTCGCTCGCTTCGCTCGCTTTATTATTTTGGTTACAGTTTTTTGTACAATGTGCAAAGATTACAAACAAAATTATCTCGTAAAATGGTAGAATAATTTCTACTATTTTCAGCCCTAGCAACACCAGCTGCGGAATGAATGCGTAAATCGTAGCGTAGGGGGACGGGAGCGATGCGCGGCGCAGCTCTATACTAGCGGACGGTTCACATTATCGTAGCGCAAGTAACCTCAGTGTATCATACAGTGTGTACGGAAACAGTCACTCGTATGACACCGTCCGTAAAAACTCGTGAATAAACACGTATTTACTTGACGGTTCGCGCTTTGCATAGATTTCGTAACAAATAAAGAGTAAAATTTACTGACTGATTTACGAGTTACGGCAACTATAATTGTGTAATGTGACGATTATGACAAGTGTTCTAAAAAAATCAAGAGGCAGTAAAGGAAAATCAGAATCCATGCAAGAAGATATGCCCGTGCGATGGGGGAGCAATTCCCAGCAGAAAGAAGATGTTGCAAAGCTCATTAAACACATCGACGAGAGTATTATTGGCAAAGGAAATTCGTTCTGTGGACCATACGGGAGGAGAAAAGGTAAATACTTTATTTTTTGGTTTAAAAGTTTTTAAAAGTTTGATAAAGAACTTTATTATGATACAAAATACACACAAAATTGATTAATATAGGTTCACAAGGTTATTGCATTAACAATTAACTTGTGGGAGACTGCTGCTTAAACTAAGCATTTTAAATGCCTGTACTTTTCAGGCTCACTACCTACACTACACTTATTATTATATTATATTATACGTTATTGTAGAGTTGATAAATGTGTGGTAGATATTTTATATAATTTTCAGTATTACGTATTTTTAATATACCTTACCATAAATAAATTTAAGAAAATTATTGATTGTGCATTTAATCAATCATTTTGGGTTCTTTTTGGGATGGAGAACCCAAAATCAGTGACAGCACATCAGTGACTCTACCTGTAATAAAAACATAAAAAAAAATAAGTGACATGGTAACATTTGATAACCTTGACGTTATCATTATGTACATAAAAAATAAGGAACACTGCTTATGGCTGAAGCAAGACCTGAATATAGGAACATTACGCTGCAGTTGTTGAGTGGTTTCGCTGAAAATTTCGCAGTAGCTGAATGCGGAAGTAACTATTTTTCACGGAGAGATTAATTATTCAAATTTGTTAATAAAGCTCCATTTAAATCTTTATAAACATAAGCTGAAGATTAACAATATGTAAAATTTACAAAATATTTAAAAGTAATTGTTGAATTGCGACATTAAATACTAACGAACACGTTTCGATCAAACATTTTTATTTGAATATTATTAATAAGAAAATAAGATTTCGGTAGTTGGCACTGTAAGGTCTAACCTTGGGGCGGATCCACCGTTATGGGCACGATGAGCATTTCCACAACCCTGACGTTATGACGTAAAATTTTCATAGTCTACTGTCGATTGGCCCCGTAGCACTGTACAAAAATCTTAAATTACTGCGACATATATTTTGGAAAATATCTCATTTGCATTAATGCACTATTTTGAGCAGTTGTTACTATGAGTCACACTTTGCTTATTTTCGGGTAGTTGTGACCACAAGCTTTTTTGAGTTCTGAATTCTGAACAACTCTATAGGATGGCCCATGGAGGTGCAAAACAGGTGAAGAGTAATAATTGAATTTGGTTGTGAGATTTGTAGTTTACATGAACTATCTCTGTTTGTGGATCTTGCTTAAATATCCTAGTCATCTGCAAGGTGACGCCTGGTTTCATTAAATAAATAGAAATATAATTAAACTGATTATGTTAAATTGATAATGTAACATGAAATTGAATTCTGAAATGTGATCAACTAGGCTACTGTGAACATTTGAAATGTCACTACAGAGTCTACTAACTGTCTAGATCGTAGATTTCTACATTTTAATATCTACAATTTGCTATGATTTTTGCTTATGGATACACAAGGGATTTACGCAAAATAGATATTGACAATATGTCATGTATTCATTCATGGACTTTTATAATTAAATATTCTCTATTTACCTCCGTTTTTACTGTTTCAGCGGATGCTGATATTAATACAAAATTCATACTAAAAAATTGTATGCTATTTTGAATAAAAAAAACAAGTTGCTTAAACTAATATTATAAAATACGAAAGATTTTATTGTTTGTTTGCAGTGAATAAACACTGAAATTACTAGATAGATTTTAAAAATTCTTTCACCTGTGGCAACTTTAGTAAGCTACATCATACGTTGGTGACAAAAGCGATAACCTGATTACCTATTGATGACCAAAGCGGACGAAATCGCTGAAAAAGTAGATACTTGGTTAGTTAACCTTTTTGAATATCCTACGTGACTTGTGCTCGGTCTTACCTTTAAATAACGCGTTGCGACTAGAATGTCATCATTAAAAATCAGCATGGATTGTTGCTGACGCTGACATTAAAAACAATGCTGATGGTGATATTCGCAAAAACCCTGTGGCGAACATAAAAATAATAGTAACCTAAATTACTACTGATCTGCAAAATGTACGATTTGCAATAGCACATGCCTACGTCAGAATGATGAAATATAGCCAGTAAATTAAATAGGTTCATTATTTAATAAATGTCAATTTTAATAATAATTAAATAATATATTTAATAAACGTCACAAAAAGCTCTTGGTGACTGCTAAGGATACACATTGTTTTAATTTTAAACTAGCTTTCCGCCAGTGGCTTTCCCTCGTAGTCCCTAGGGAACTGTTTAGTAGAATAAAAAGTAGCCTATATGTTAATCCAGGCTTAGAATTATCCGTATACCAAATTTCATCAAAATCCGTCCAGTCTTTCTTGTATGAAGAAAGTAACAAACTTTCGCCTTTATTATATTAGTAAGACACTACCAACAAATGCTAACCGTCACTAGCCGAACTTAGCATTTTCCAAGCTTTAACACTATAAGCATATAAAATAGTATTTTTTTACATTTACCAACTTATATTGATAAATCATTTTCAACATAAGTTATATGATTTAAACATTTACTAGAAAAACCAAATACGGGCTTTTACAGTGACACACATTATATAGTCGAACATAGACAGTCCCCTTCAGACTCTAGACCCCAGAAGAATGAATAAAAATCACACATATGGTTTAAAAATAACATTATCAGTGATAGATCCTCGTACCATTATACGTACGATGCAATTGTTGTTTGATACCATAGTTCTGTGATTCTACTTATTAATTTATCTGTTTAACTCTTCATCATTCATATGGCATAGGCCGCTTTATGAATATAAACACAGAGAAAACTAGCCAGTATATTAAATCTTGGTTATAGTAAAAAAAACCGGCCATGTCCGAGTCGGGCTAATGGTTCCATATCATTATCTATAGAAATGACAAAGAAGCACGTTTATTGTATTTATTTTGTTCTGTTTTAGTGTTCGTTGTTCACTTTAAATTCGTTTCAACTATCACGCGGTTCATGAGATAAAACCTTAAATATGATTTTGTTAGTTACAAATGAATAAGCAATTTTTCCGGGACCAGCGGCTTATCATGTCATCCGAAGCGGTCACCCACTGGTCCTCTGACTGGTTTAGACAAAATTGCAGACGCGATAACCGCTGCAATATATAGCTACTTATTCGTCTTAACTACGATATTTTATGTCTTACATGCTATTGATCTATGTGATATCATAACATGTGCTGTTGTCAGTTGGTTTAAATTATATCTCTAGATAGTTGGGCGCCAAATTTGTAATTTATTTTGGTATAGCGTCGAATCATTTGGCACAATCGGTTTAGATATTTACGAATGTTATTTCAGATACTCATATTATTGATGTTATTTTGATCATTTATATGAATTACCTTGTATTTTTTAGTGTCGTTAAGAATGGCGATTCGTGGATCAATATGGAGGGTGAAAAAAATATGAAAAGTCGTGGGTTCGAGTCCCATTTCAGAATACCTGGGCCGGGTGGAATATTTTTTAAAGAATATTATGTAGTATAGCATTGTGAATGCAAAATTGATATTTTCGTTTTATTATTTTAATGAAAAATTTGGCGTAACTAACTAGTTATTCGCGTAACTTATTGATTTAATGGGAATTCTCATGAGATAGATAGAACAAACAAAGATTAATCAAATATAATGTACTATGAACGATTATATTAGAACATTCTTCAATTTTCAAAGTCTGTAAAAATATTTAACTATTTTTATTTTTCTATTATACATTTCTATATAATTAAATTTAAAGACCAATATTACGTTATACAATACACCCTAAAATTTCTATATCTTGTCGGCCTGTTTTAAATTTTAAAGCATCGATAAAGCTTCTTTTGATTTTATGTAAACTTTTTCCTTGTCTGATTTTGAGAAATTTAACAGTGAACAGTGAAAGGTATCGTACGATAGAACCGGTTCTAAAGGTCGCACCGGGGAGCCGGGACCAAAAACCTGGATGTGCGGTTACCGGTTTTTTAAATAACTTTTTAGTAACATACATGTTATATGGAGTCGGTCATCTTCATTTCACCAGTAGTTTATGGAGGTTTTAGACTTTTGGAAAATGTGTATGTGTGTATAAATGATATAAATACTTATGTCGCGGTATCCATTTGTTTGTTTGAGTTTCAAAGGTTTTAATTATTATAGGATAAAATTTTGCTAAACATTGCAATTTATTCTGTATATTTATATGAATGAATCAATGGTTGATAAAAATATACCTGATATTAAAATTAATAATTAAAATAAAGTTACTCAATTACGAACAAATAACAAGAGTTTGCTAATATTCATTATCAGTAGTACAAATAATATAATACATATTGCCATCCTATTACAGAACTTACTTTATATAATGTGCATGTCAAACAACTCGACCGTTAACTAAATGACAGACTTGTAAACAACTGTTAGACCTTGACATACTAAAGAGGAGAGATTGGCCTATGAAATCGATTCCTACAGCCATCTTGGATTGGATACCAAACAATATTTTATTTACTTCCAAATAAAGTTATTGGCTTATAGGATTTATACAAAAATCGGCAGATTCAATCTGGCAATCTGGTCAGATCACTTCATATAGTTACGTCGACTTACATGGAATATTATATTAGAATAGGAAAATAAAAAAAATAAAGGATTTCAGAATTACTGTAAAACAATAATGATAAACCCATGTGGGTTATTAATAATAACCACCCGACTGCAATAGAAGTTTCGTGAATTATTTTTACTTTTACTAACAATTTTTGAAAGTAGGTTTTATTTGTTTTATGTTTGTTTCTATTTTAAAGTCGGTTATAGTTTACATCTTCAAAAACAATGAACCGATTTTGATGGAAATTGTACCGTTCCCTAAGTTGGAAACTAATTAATAAAAAAGTAAGAATCATTGCGATCTGATTTCTAAAATTATCGAGAAATATAAATATGCACTTACAAAATTTCTCAACGCGTCAACGCCAGCAGATGATATGGTTTCTTCTAAGTTTTATTTTATTTAAGAGTAGTGCTCATTTCTAATGTTTT